ATGCATTTATTGGAACTGAACTGGGAGATATATAGAGAAATGATAATGAATTTAGAGTACACCAAAGGAGCTGATGATGTGAAGAAGAAGATAGAACTGAAGTGATGGAATCTGGGTTAGACTGGAAAGGAATTATATTAGGAAAAAGTGATAAGAATAGGGAGTTACAAAGTGAAAATCTAGGACAGGTTTTATGGAAGGTGGAGTATTGAATTTATGATCTGAAAGGAGAAGATAAGGTTGAGAGGGCAGTTAGAGAAGGAGTTGCTGAAAAAGAGTGCAAGTAATGGCTGAGAGTTAAGAAGCTCAAGAAAGGCCTGTCTTGCTGTAGGCTGATTATTCAATGTGACTCCTTCCTCTTGTGTAATTAGCAGAGGTCAGATCTGCCCACCACCATGTGGTTCAAATTCGCCAGCTGCTTTGTCTGGAGAGGGATGAGCAATCCTTCCTAAGTACTTTACTGCTTCTGAAAACACCCTGGAGGGTCAGTTATGCATCGATTCCAACTCCATGGTACACAACAGCAACATGATGGAAGGAATTTTTGCATAAGATTCTTGTATAGAAAGAAGTCCTCTCATTTTTATTTTATAAATTAAAATGCAAACTTAAATAGAAGACAGATATCAAAATTAATATTTTTTTCATTCTAAATGGCAGTGGGAAAAGATAGTACTGAAATACTCACTATGAAGCGATGCAGTCCGTAATATAACAGAATATCTGCTAAGGTAAAGTTATAGCCTGTAAGGTAGACTTTGTCTTCAAGATACAAATTAAGGTCCTAGAAACAAACAAAAATTTATTAATTTAAAAATATAAGGGGAAACACCCCCCCCCCTGACATTCAGAAGGCTATCAGAAAACAAAATACTGGTATTTAACAAACATGATATTTAACACTAAGATTTTTTTCCAAAAAAAGGACCATCTTAGTCATATTTAAAAAGGTTTTAATAGTATCATTTTTTATTTCAAAGAAATAATAAGAGAAATATTAAGTGCCAACTTTGATAATTACAAAATACTTCAATTGTAAATAACATTTAAAGCTAAGGAAGGTGAGGATTCACTAGATGATGAGCACCAATTTTTAAGATTATTTTACTGTAAACATATTAAAATAAATTTAAAGATTAAAACTAAGATAGCTTCCAAAAGTACAAATTTAAAAAATGAAATTTTACATTAAAGAATCTCAAAAGGTCCTAATCTAATCTAGAGGTAATATGTGATAGATCAGCATGTAAAATCAGTTCATTTCTTGGAAGAAAAAAAAATTTAGATAAAAACATTAATTAGTATTTTACTTCACGCTTCTCTCAAAATCAACTGCAATTTGAAAGAACAGGAATCTGTATTAGATTACATTCAAATGAAATGTGCAAAAAGAAAGAGCACTTTATGAAGCTCATTTAAGAGGTTTCTCTCGCTAAAGACTAACTGCAAAACATTTCCTAATGATCAACAGCATTTATTTACTTTCTTAAATTTCAAAGAAAAGCATTTTGTTTTTATTCTCAAATCACCTCATGAAGTACTGACACATATATTGGGTAAGGGTCCGTAAAGGTTGCTGAATGGAATTTAATCTCTTTTAGTTTATGCAAGACAACAGTTAAAGACACAAGAATACAGCTTCAGAAGAATCCATAACATGTGGGTGGCAGGATATATTCGCATGTTAGGGTTTACCACCTAAATTCTAAAGCAACATGTCATACTTTCTCTCATTTCTTCACAAGAATCAATTCTGGTAAATTATAAAATATATTGCTATCACATTATAAAGGGAGCTCTGGTGGCCTAGTGGCAAGAAGCTGCGCTGCAACCCCAAAGGCAAGCAGTTAAGAGGCCACCAGCTGCTCCACAGGAGAAGGATGGGCAATCTCTTTCCATGCAATTAACTGCCTCTGAAAACCTGCTGGAAGGTCAGCTATGGGTCAGTTCTGACTTGATGGTACACAACAACAACAACAACAACAACATCACATGATAAGAAGCATTAAAAACAGATCTGAAATGAGTTATTCCTCTTCTGAGTTATATGTAAATTCTAGAAATATCTCCAAGGTTTAGTTAAGATTCTTAAGGGAGTGAACAAATGGAGTTTTAAAGCTGTGATTTGGTAGTATTTCATGATTAGGTATAGAAACCAAATTTTTTCTACCAAACAAGATTCTACATATTCAAAATATTCACAAAACATACTAATGTCTAATGTTCATTTCTAGTTTTTTTTTTAAGTCAATAGAGCTCCTGCAAGAGGAAAGGAGGATCCTCTGGTGAAGAGAGCCAGAGTGAGGGCAGGCAGAATCCTGTCAGCTATTTCAAGGATTTGGTTACCCTGTAATATATGTGTGTTTGTTTGTGTGTGTCTTTAGGAGCAGGCAACAGTGATGAAGGGAGAGTCATTAGCATAAAACAAAGGAAAATGGTTTTATTTTCTAATCTGCTCCTATTCTACAAGAGTTAATGCACTGTTTGACAGGAAATAACAAAGTTATGGTAGTCTGTGTAACATGCAGTGGCATAATGTCACCAAAATATGACAAAAGTTTTGTCAATTAGTATTTTTCTAAGAAAAACATATAAAGTTGGGAGTCTTTAAAGTGAAGCAAAACCTACAGAATTTTAATATCTTCCCCACTTAGCAATGTAGGAGTTGCTTTCATTTAGTCTAAAAAGATGTCACTTCTGAGCTATGAGAAGACATGAGCAGCTTGTGATGTTACTAAGTGTCATCAAGTCAATTACTGACTCACAGCAATCCCATGTGATAAAGCAGAACCACTCCATAAGGTTTTCTACAATTTACACTTCACAATGTGAATGGGTCGGCCTTTCTCCTAGAGCCACTGGGTGGATCTGAACTTTCAATTTTTTCAGTTAGTAACTGCTTAATTGTTGTACTACAATGGCTCTTAACAAGCTTTTACTAGGGATCCAGTATGTACTGGATATGCACTGGATGTTTAGTCTTTTAATTTTATCAAGTCTCACATCTGACCAAGTGCATCTGAGCCCCAGTTGACTGGGTAAGATGTCGTAATCATATATACACCAAACCCAATTGTTCTCTAGTAGAGTCTTTCTTACAGTGACTCTCCACTGGGTTTCCAAGGCTATAAATCTTTGTAAGAAGAAACTATTCATCTGTCCACCTCAAAGCAGCTGGGAGATTTGAAGCACTGACCTTCAGTCAGCAACAGCAATATGTAACACCCTAAAACACATAGAGAGTTTTTAATATTAAAAGCTTGAATGTACTGTTTCATGTATTTCTATAGAATGACTTAATTCTTGTATTTATTCCTCGCTGTGCTGTGCAGGCTATTATAATCTTTATTTTAACATAAGGAAGCTAAGGCACAGAAAGAGGATTAGTTACTTGCCTGAGGTCACCATCTATGAGACTGAGATGCAAACACATGCATTTAGATTCAGAATCTATTCCTAGCCAGTATATAAAACTGATACATAAGAGGGTTAAAAAAAAAAAGTCCAAGAACAAGGTTTATTTGGTTTTTTTAAAGGAAGGAAGGATTCATTTTTCTTAAAAGTCTGTATTGCTTTACTGTCTTCTTAGAAGCATAAACTACAGATATTCACACAGATAAGTTCTAAAAACACTAAATTCAGAAAACAAATTTAGTACCTATATCAATGTCAGGGCATGCACCTTGGATTTAGATCTTTGCTGTATGAAGATGGAATTATAAAGCTAACAATGGACCAGGAAAACAAAAAATAGCAATGTAATATGAGTCACAATAAAAAAACAGGTGTGCTTTGAAAAGATGAAGAAACAACTGACAAAACAGTCTCAATAAAAAAACATCTTGCTTTCTCTTTCAAAGTACTTGTATTGACCAAAATTATTGTATACGAATCTTATATTTAACACATTGAATTTCCTAATCACTTTACATAATGTTTGGGAAAATGTTTTGTCATGATTTAAAAAAAACAGAAGTATAAACTCCTAGTACATGAGATTATTCAGACAGTCGTCTCATAATCAAAGTGAACCTCAGTGCACACATTGCAGCTAAAAAGAAGTCATGATACCTTCAATAGAGTACGGATGTCGTCTTTACTGGAGTGTCCATCAATTTGAGTTACCCTGTATTCCAACCACTGTTGGACGACTGCTTTTTCCTCTGCTGTGCTCCCGAGCAAATATTCTTTGTTAGCCTGCTTGACTAGATGAGCTGCTATCGTAGTCAATCCTGTTAAACTTGGACCATTGTTTGTTTGCAGAACTGGAATCTTAAGAGGAAAAGAAAAGTCCTTCAGAGAAATTTAAAAACAGGTATCATCATGACTGCAAGTTCTAAGTAATGGTTAAATTACTGTTTTTCAAATACCTTGGATTTTGCTCTAATATACCAAATGAAACGTGAGAACCAATAGCTATAGAATTTATAATCTGACAAGACATGCTAGGTAACAATGGAACTCATAATAGCAATTAAAAAAATAAGTAAATTAATCTCTCTATACAAAAAATACGGAGTTTCTGTGGCCCAGTGGTAAGGATCTGTGCTGTCAATGAAAAGGTTTATAGTTTGAATCCAGCTGCTCTGCAGGAGAAAGATGGGCAATCTTCTTTTGTGCGATCTACTGCCTCTGGAAACTTGGTGATGTGTCAGTTATGGATCAGTTTCAACTTAATGTTATACAACAACACAAATAATATACATGAATATGTTATTCGTAACTATCCCTCCCTCTTTACATTCAAGTTGGAATTGCTTCATTGCTGACCCTCTAGTGGGATTTCAGAGGCAGAATGCATAAATATTGACATATTAGGCATTGGAGAGATGAGATGGACTGGCATGGGGCATTTTGAGTCAGATGACCATAAGATATATTACTCTGGAGATGGAAAGACAAGGAAAAATGGGGTTGCCTTCATAGCAAAAAAAGTAATTTCTAGATCCATCTTGAA